CCCTTCTATACCACACCAGATAAAGAAAGGAGTCTGGAGGGACTTAATTTATTATAATGGTGGCATTTAAAATGTGTATATACCACAGCTTTTTTATCCATTCGTCTACTGATGGACACTTGGGCTGTTTCCAGATCTTAGCTATTGTAAATAGTGCTGCTATGAACATGGGGGTACATATATTCTTCCTGATTGGTGTTTCGGGCTTCTTAGGGTATATTCCTAGCAGTGGGATCACTGGGTCAAATGGAAGTTCAATTTTTAATTTTTTGAGGTAACACCATATTGTTTTCCATAGTGGCTGCACCAGTCTGCATTCCCACCAGCAGTGTATTAGAGTCCCCTTTTCTCCACGCTGTGGTACATATACACAATGGAGTACTATGCAGCGGTAAGAAAGAAAGATCTCTTATCCTTTGAGACGACATGGAGGGACCTGGAAAGTATTATCCTAAGTGAAATAAGCCAAGCAGAAAAAGACAAATACCACATAATCTCACTTATATATGGAATATAATGAACATAACAGTCTGAGGAATAGGGTAGACCCAGAAACATGGAAGTAGGGCACAGACTGACATCCCTCAAAAGAGGGGGTTGCGGGGGAGAGATTAACCACAGAACTTATATGCATGTATGCATGACCAATGGACATGGACAACTAAGCCAAGGACGGGGCGGGGGTGGGGTGGGGAGGGGGGTGCCAATGGGGTAAAAAAGGTGAAATATCTGTAACAAAAAAAATAAAATAAAGAGGTTGGGATAGAACAACAACAACAAAAAGAAATAAAAAACATATTTTTTAAAAGTGAAAAAAATAAATAAAATGTGTATAAATTTGCAGCATCTGGCTAAGACTATATGTGTTACAAAGTTATCAGTTTGGCACTAGCAAGCTAGGAATGTGAATCACCTTGACATGTACTCAAGAATTATTTAACCAGTGAGGTTAAATGTTGTTTTGAATGGCAGGGTGGTGATGACATTTTGCATAGAGAAGGAAGGAACCTAGTTTATTCTCCTGTTACTTACCAAGCAGGGGTTACAACTAGCAAGGTCATGCCCATGAAGTGGGACCAATAGCACCGTGCCTGCTTTGAGAAGTTGATATGTTGGTCTCCCATCCTGGTTCTAGGAGATGAGTCTAAGCTGTTTCTACTTCCCACAAAGAACTCCAAAGAGATGGAAAGTCAAGAACAAAGTTCCCAAGATTTTGTGAATTAGGGTCATAGACTTGTTTCCCCTAAGATAATTAAAAGCAAAGCAAAGCAAAGCAAAGCAAAGCAAAGCAAAGCAAAGCAAAGCAAAGCAAAGCAAAGCAAAACAAAAACCTCTCAGTACCAGTCATTTTGGAAAATATGATTTGAAAAGCAGTACATTTTAAGGTCTTGTTTGTAAAATTATGAATTAATATGTGCTTGTAGCCTAAGGCCAACACATCCCAGTATGTTGGAAAAGTTTTTTTTTTTTTTTTTTTTTTAATCCTCACTCGAGGACATTTTTCCATTTATCTTCAGATAGAGTGGGAAGGAGGGGGAGAGAGAGAGAGAAACATCGACATGAGAGAGACACATCGATTGGTTGCCTCCCACACAACTCGCACCAGAGCTGGGGACTGAACTGCAACCGAGGTACATGCCCTTGACTGGAGTCAAACCTGAGACTCTTTGGCCTGTGGGCCAATGCCCTAACTGCTGAACCAAACTGGCCAGGGTGGAAACGTTGTTTAAAGCTATATATCTATTACTGCTTTCTATGCTTTCATGGTAATTTGCATACGCTGGGAATTAAATGGTTCAGTGACACAAATTTACGTTAATTTATTCAGTAAGTAATGGCATGTTTTAAGGAGATTCAAAGTTATCATAATAATGGCAAGCCAACACATCTCTGACAATTAGTATCAAATGAATGCAAAAGCACAGGGGACAGAGGATACAAATGAAGGTGCTTTTCAGAGGTCATTTCCAAGAATATCTTATATATTTTACAAGACACGTGGCCAAAGTGAGAATTCTTGTGTAGTCTGTGCAAGTGACAATCATGTCCAAATTCAACAAGAACAGAACAAACAGTCTGAGAACTGACTTAGAGCAGCTATTGGGAGAAGAAAGCAAATGCAACACTCACTGAATAAAAACAGGGGTGATTGAAATGAATATGTCTGAATTTGTTCAATAAGAAAGATTATGTTTAAAAATCCAATGTGAACCTGTTTTTAAAAGATTTAGGTTATATGGCTTACTGCTCAGGAATACTTTTGTAAACGGATGAATCTGTTTCCAGTGATCAAAGTTACGTTTCAAGTTGTTGTGTTTAAACCTTGAAGTAGAAACAAAAATATAGAAAAGATACATATGCTTCTCATGACCTGCTAATTAATTCATTATTTCTTCTGCTATCCTGGGACTTCCACCTCCCTGTGACTTAAAATTATGGTTCTCAATTTTAGTAATCCAGGGCCCCACCACAATTTTGATTTGCTAAATTCGGGGTATGCTCTGGAATCTGCATTTTAACAAGACTTACAAGAGGTTCTGATATAGATGAACTGGTGCCCACCCCTTAAGAAATGTGGCCTTAGACCAGTTTCTAAAAATGAGCTCTGAATTTACACCTTTATTTTGGAGTGGTTGGATACAACATGTGCTCTCATATACTGTTGTAGTTGTTGTTTTATTAGCATAAATTTTTACCAAATCACTGGGTCTGGCAGTATAGAACCAGGATAAAAAATAATTCCTGACCTTGGGAAAAACCCATTTCCTCATATTTAAAGTAAGAGTTGGATGAAATGCTGTCTAGACTGCTATGCAGCTCTAATATTTTATATGCATATGTGACGCCTGGAAGATATTTTTTGAAGATTATGACTCATGTGTTGGCCAGTGTGGATGGAATAAACCAGGAAAACCAGAAATCAGTCTTTGGGCCATTAAATCAAGATTAAATACGATTCCTTTCCCCGCTCTCACATTTCAGCCTCAACCTGGGGAGCTGGGATGGCAATTAGATATATGAATTTTATGTTTCAATGAAAAAAGATTTCTCTTGTTTTTAAAATTTTAAGGAATTGTCTACATATAATTATCAGAAAGTTGATGTATTGATCGCCAACTGGTCATGTCTGTGTGGATGGTTGACGATTAGTCTAAATAAAAATTATGTTTAGAAAACTTTTAAATAATTCAGTCACCAACAGAGTAAACACAACCAACATTGTTTATGTTACAAATAACTGAATCCAGAAGGTTGTCATTTCATGAGCTCTATTTTAAATGAAAAACCAATTCTTTCGCTTGATGCTGTAGAAACTTTTTTAAAAAAAGTATGAGACGAGGACTGTGAGATTAAGTCAGAAAACAATAGTAGGCTATTCAATGGTAACATTGAAAACACTATATTGGAGACATTACAAATTTTTGGGGTGGGTATTTTACATAGGGTTATACACAATATGTGGTTTTTAAAAATCTGTTTTTTGAGAGTTTATCTTAGTTAAAAACACAAATTTATGCTGTATTTCCTTAAAGCTACTATAGGTGGCAATAAAAGAATTGCCCCTTCTTATAATTATTTATTTAAAACAACAGTATGTCATGTAATACTAGTACTTAATATTTTAAAAAATGTACAGCTTATTAAAAGACATTTGCAAATAGCTATAGCAAACCCTACATATCTCCCTCATTCACCTGTTCACCAAGCATTCAGAGCGCTGCCAAGTGCCTGGTGCTGCTTTAGGTACTGGGGGTGGGGGAGGGGTGCCAAATGAAGTAACCTCTGTTCTCATGGGGCTTACATTCTAAGGGATTAGAAAGACAATAAACAAATAAAAAAATAAATATGTAACCTAACAAATGCTAGATAGAAAATACAGTAAGACTAAAGGACAAAGGGTAATGGGAAATTTTATATTGATTTTGTTAAACCAGCCGCTCCAATGAGGTGCCATCGAGCAGATACCCCAGTGAAGAGAGGAATGAGTCATAAAAACATTGAGGAAATATCCAGGCATGGAGAACAAAACCCAAAATGTCTAAAACATTCTAATAACTAGAACATGAATTTGAAAAACCTAGGCTCTTTCAAAAATATTGGAGGCTCTCTTGTAGCTTAAGTTCTCTTTTCTATTAAGCCTCTTTGACCACTCAAATCCCAGTGACCTCCTCTCCCTGAACAGAAGAATTTAACACAAAAAATGCTGCTTTATTTTGTTGCAGTGGTAGGGTGAGTCTGATCTCGATGTGAACTTAACAACAAGGATCATACTTCATGTTATTTCTGACACCAACTCCCCACCTCCACCCTACATGCCCTGGTGTTGAACCAATGTTAGATTTTTAATAAAGGCATCTGACTAACCAAAGGCTGTGTAAACAAAATTATTTGCAAGTTAGTTTTTAATGGAAAATGTTTCCTTGTCAAGATACTCTGGGTGTGGTATGGAATGATTATTAGGATCTAGTATTTTCATTCGCAATGGTATGCACTCACCCCTACACACAAAAAATGACTTAAAAGGAAAAAAACAAAACCAATAAGGAGATATATTAAAAGGCTTTATTCACAATAGAGAAATTTTACAAATATAGTTTTTAAAAATTATGTGTCAATCTATTATGTTTCCCATAACATTAAAGATTTATATAAAGTTGAAAATGACAGAATGGATTTATGCACAAATCAAAAACAATCACTGTAAAGAATGGGTAACACATATGAAGGAGTTACGACAAATACCGAGTCTTGTAAACTGCCATACAACTCATATACATAATGTTAATTGCACAAAGCATACCGAAACCATATGCAGAAACAGAAAATTAAGTGCTACTTTGATTATTCACCTTTTAGATGAAATTGCTGAAAAGAATGAAAGTGTCTATCTAAAAACTTTAGTTGTTTAAAATAATTAACACAAAATATAACTTTAATTAAATTATATCACTCTAATATTAATCTCTTATCTTGTTTACCTTTTTGGTATTTTGGGACTTTACAAATAATCCAAGTTGTAGAATTTAAAAAACTTTATTCTTGTGATTTGCAGAACAACGTCTAATACAATCTTTTTGCCTACTTATATCAGGATACATTGTAGTGCAGTGTACATAAACCTGATATTAAAATCCTATCTGTTGCAGAAATACATATCCGCTTTGTGCTCTTTCAAATCAAATTTAAAAGCAAAGAAAATAAGTTAACTTAAATTGTTAGCCCAAGGATGTTTCTAGGAAATTATAATCTAAATACACATGGCCCAATTTTTGCAATAATTTTTTATATTTTGCCTTTATGTCCTGGGAAAAGAGAACTCTCACCATTTCATTTCATAAGATGAGCTGAACCTATGAGTGGAAGATATTCTGGGTCTCACAACACATTAGCATGGCAATAATGATGTATTAAAGGATGCTTTTCATTTACCAATTTTATTTATTCTTTGACATATTCTTTGTATACCAATGTACAATATTAAAAAAAAGAGGTCACATAAGGTGGTCCTTTCAGACAAAGAAAATCTTTTGAAACATGTCTAATGGCTGAAATAGCTAAAACAAGTCCATAGAGATCCACGAAAATAACTGTGTTAAAAAATATTAGGTTGAACCATATGAAATTGTTGACATTGGCTAGTTTTAAAACTACAAACGCAGCAACTTCATCTGCTTCAACCAAATCCATGGCCTTGCACTGCATGCTGACCACTGCACGCTGACAATGCAGGTGGTTGAAGTCTTTGTGCCTCAGAATACAAACACCCCATTAGCCCTTTCATGAGGACATACATATAATATGATCCAATGTGAGAAGAAAACACAAGGTGTTACCAAATCTATTCTTGGGAAAACGACTCATATCTCAAAACAACGCTTTGAAGAACCATATACTTATTTTGATCTGCTAAAAAATTGAGGGAGATTGGGAGCATCCATTCCTACATAGTCTTTCTAAGCTGGGATGGCTATGTTGAATTTAGCCAGACAAAATAGACTATATTCTTATTTGACCTAAAAGTTTACTAGATTTTCCTCAATTGACCATGAATAGGTACATTGGTAAAGCTTCTTTCAGAGTTAAATTCTGCTTTCATAAACTGAAATGAAGTAGTTGACTACATTTGAGAAAGGGCCCTTTACAAATCTGAAAAATCTGAACCAAATGTAACGCTTTCTTTACTTTAAGAAAAAAAGTTAAATATGAAATGCAAATTAAAAACCATATGAAATATTTACCCTCTTGTTTAGAGAGACCCAATTCTTCATATATTTAGTAAAAAGCAAAATCTAACACACTAAAGAGCAATACTATTTCCCTTTAGAAAATATAATTGAGTAATAGCAGGGATCTGCAAAACTTACAAGCTCACTTTGCTGTGTGGTGGGGAATGGAAGGAATTAACCAGCATGTGACTCAGAAATAACACAGGACATTTCAAGTAAAATTTGAGAACTAATTCACCAATTAGGAAACACTAATATAATTCAACAACAAAAATATACTGTGGTTCCAATGAAATGAGGTCAATATGACATGATCCTTTTGGGATGACATTCTATTTTGAATTGAAATGCAAGTAAAATATTTTAGAAGACATTCTATCAAATAATGATAGACCCGCATAAGGAGGCTGTCACAGTTATAAGATCTGTCTCTGCTGGATAGACAAACCATATTAACATAAAATTAAAAAGGAAAAAGCTTTTTTAATATTTAATTTATTATTATGGCTTTTTGCAACATGGCAAAACATTACAGCTTAAAGCAGACATCATCTCCTCATAGAGGAGGGAGAAGTTTTGCAGTCAAATCAAAATTGTAATTAAGAGGTCACTGGTATCCCATTCTATTCAGTCTAATAAAAATGATACTCCACCTGCATGAACTCCAGAGATAATAGATTACTTAAAAAAAATCTGTGATTTACTGACTGAATAATAAAAGATACGACAAGGAATCTGAGTCCATCTAAGCCTATGATAATAAACATAAAAGACTGCAAAACAATTTTAGAACTTAGAATAATCACAGACCTAGTAATAAAAATTCATCCTGTGCCTGAATACCAGAAGAACTGTTAAGGTATGCAGTGACGGCAATGGAGCAGAGTACAATATAAAATGTCTTTTTATTATTCATCAACTCCAACTTCTTTTCTATTTGTAGAGAGTATAGGGAGAAGATGTGCCTCGGTATTGAAGATCCAATGTTCCAGTGGAAGTAGATCGTCATCAGAAAATATTAAGTACAAATACCTAGAGAGAGAAACAAGGGTATATGAGGCAGCGAAACCACAAAGGAACAGCAAAACCACATCAGTGTCTCCCTTCCTGACGGAGAACCATGGACAACGGTCAAGTGGAGCAAGCGCCGAGGAACACCCTCTCTGACGCAGAGTGCACAGCGGCTCTGCACTTTGATTCAGCGTGTGAGCACCGTCAAAGCAGGCCCAGCCCTCAGACTCACACGAGGACTGAAAACGACCAGCAGTTGTCGCCGTGCACGTGGACTGGCATTCAGAGGCAGGCGTGCTTAGAGTCTGCACGTGCTGTTGATCAACACATCGACCCAGATGCGCCCAGCTCCCCCAGCCCGACCTTCAGAATGCTGTGACTCACTTGAGTGTCTCTGCCAGGAAGAAGCTCTGCTGCACGTCATCATAGCTGTCCTGTCTGAGGTAAACGTCCCTGAGGCCCGAGTAGCCTCCCGTCACCCTGCAGTGCTTCTCCAGGGCCTGCACGACAAACACGGGAAATGGTCCCAAGTCAGTCACCCGATTGTCATTGATTCCTATTATTACATGGTCATATTCAAATAGAGTAAGGATTCAAATTAAATTGATAGATCATAACAGTTTTAGGTGGTATTTTAAAAAAAAAAAGATAAAATGTAAATGCAAATACAGTATGAAAAGTTAAAGGATATATGGATGATGTATCTTCTCCCTGATTGGAAACACTTCTACACTGAGTTTTGGAATAACTTTTCAGTAATATTTACCATTTCCTCCTGTAATCTAGAGCAGGGTCTATTTTGGTAAATGAAGTGTCGCTGAACCACAGCCACACTCGTGTGTACATGTGGTCTGGCTGCTTCTGGCTACAATGGCAGTTGAGTAGTTGTGTGTGGCCCCCAAACCTAACTATGGAAAACATTGGCTGACCCTTGGTCTAGAAAGATTCCTGTCAAATAGGATTATAACCCACTGGTTAAGAAAGTGGGTTATAATCCCAAAATTAACTGCTACTATAATCAGAACATCTTATTGATGAAAAATTGATTGTGGATCATTAATTAGTGATACTGGTGACAGAGATAAAAGACAAAAAAGGAAAGCAGTGAGAAAAATGTGGCTCATATCTATTTCTAAAATATATTTTTCTTTTTTTAGTCTGGGAAGGAAGAAGACAGATGAATCCACTGGTAACAATCCAGAGAGAAAGGACCCTACATTCCTGTAGCTGTGTGACTATAATGAGTATTTGGAAAAGAGATGGGTTGGGCAGGGTGGGAATGAAAATGTAGGAAACAACTTAAAATAACTGTCTTCTACATTGTCCCTCATCACTATGTTGACTGGTCTTTGTATTTTGAACTTATAGCCCTGGCCGGTTTGGCTCAGTGGTTAGAGCGCCCACCGTGGACCAGAGAGACCACAGTTTGGTTCCCGCTAAGGGCATGTACCTCGGTTGCAGTTTGTCCTCGGCCTCAGTTGGGGTCATGTGGGTGGCAACCACTCGATGTGTGTCTCTCACATCGATGTTTCTCTCTTTCTCTTCACCCCTCTCTCCCTCCCACTCTATCTGAAGATAAATGCAAAATGTCCTCAGGTGAGAATAAAAAAAAAAAAGAAATTACATTGGCTGCTTTGCTAGTTACCAGGCCTAGTCAGCTCTAACACAGCTATTTCCTACTCACCACATCTGAATAATCCCATTAACTATAGTCACATAAAACCTGCCACCTGAAATCCGGTTTTAATTCATAGTATGTGGACCAAAAAAACAAACCTTAAGATTACAAAACCCAATATTTATAATGAAGTAATACAAATATAGAAAACATTAACAAGGTAAAGTTATTGTTAGGTTCTCATGTCATTTTAAATTTATTTTTCAGTTTTCTCTTATGAATCATAACACTGTCCCCTTTTTTATGTGCATAATTATACTCTGCTTTTCTCCCATTTACCCCAACTACCAAAAACAGAGAGAACGGAGACCCTGCCGTATTGAGAACAATCTTTATCGGCTGGAAAATGGTCCTGGAGGAAAACGTGGCTCTAAGGAAGCAGAGCCCAGAGAGAGGTGAGAGAAGGCGAACCCCGCGAGCAGGGACGCGGTGCTGAGGGCTCGGCGTCCATCTGCAGAGACTGATAATGAGGAAATTGATTTTGCACACGAGGGCTGCAGGGCAGAAGGCACGGAGCTCGGGGTCATGAGGAGAAACATTTAATTATCAGGTTAAAGAAAATCTAACTGGCAGGATACATGAATAAAGAAAAAGTCTCATGATTTGGTACTTTCTAAAAGCCCCCCGGGAAAATAAGATCAACTTAAAAAAAAAAGAAAAAAAAAAGCTTTGATTATATTCTTGGTTGCAGACAATGAGCCAAGTGTGGGAAAGCCTACAGAAAGGAACTTTCAGTTCCAATTATTTTTTTCCTTCCTTCCTTTTTTGATCAAAGTTCTTTTTGATAAAGTCAAATACCAGATACAATGGAGTAGGTTAAAAATTATTTGTAAAAAGAAAAAAGGGAAAAAAATCTAGATTTAGAAAAAATGAGTAAGTTTATTATTGTGGAACATAATAAAATCCAATTTGCAGACATTTCCTAAAAAATAATTTAACCACCAAACTTTTTCTTGGTTTTTCTTCTGAATTTCTTTGGTGATAAACTAACGAGGGTGCTAGGCCGGCTTCCCTCCCACCTAGATTTCTATAAGCTCCTTCTTTTGTTACAGAAAGAGCCTTGCTTTGGGGGGTTGGCAATGCCCAAAGTTTTTCCTCTTTTCAGTTCACCCATTTGTCCTTTCTGTCCCATGGTCCCGATGTGCGAGCCACAGCAGCTAAGAACACACTCTAAAGTTTTAGAAAAGGGGTCGTGTCTGGCTCTAGATTCACTAACAGTGTGGCCGCAGGGGCTCCCGAACCAGGCAACGTTCCTGTGGTCAGTGCAGGGTTGTGACAACGACAGACACAGCACAGTCCTGGGCCTGGTAGAGGTCCAGAGAGGCCTAGCTTCTTTTATTTTTTTCAGGCTTTTGGTACATTAAAAAAAAAAAAGCCAAAGATGCATTTTAAATTTTCAAAAAAACAGAAAAGCCTTCATGTCACATCTAAATTTTCAGATGCTATATATGTAGAGGTAAGGACAAGCGACTCTCCTGGGCCCCCACACAGGCCCTGGTTTTACAGAATCCACCAGAAGGATGTATCTACTGTAGCAGAGTCTGATCAGAACAGCATTTTGCTACAGTCTGTTCCTGGTCTCAGCCTCTGGGCATAGGGACCGTCTCAATTTCAGTAGAGGCTTACATTCCTTATTAGTGACCATATGTGACTGGGATGTGCTAAAGCAAAGAAAGGATGGACAGAAAAATGTTTATGCTGACTAGAGCTCTAAACAGAAGAGGAAAGACAAACATGACTCCAGGTGAGGGCTTTGTTAGGGGAGGAAGGAAGAAAAATAGTGGGCAGCATGAGGTAAGCTCTAAGCTGGAAAGCATCACCGTAAGAATAGAAAAGCATTCTTTTCTCCACCAGGGTAGACACACAGCTGACCAACGGAGATTTCCGAGTGTATCCCAGGGAACAACGCCAGTAAGAAGGCTACCTGGTTGAGTTTGGTCTGAGAACCAGGCAAAATGGACATATCAAAGAGTGAGAACAGGGACCAAGCTTGGGGAGGTAGAATCAGGAACTGGGAAGACAAATCATTCTCTGAGAGCCAGAATGTCCACATGGACAAGGTTAGATTCAGGGAACTAGAGAAAAATGTCTATGCAAATAAAGAAATGAACATCCCTACCTAAGGCTTATCCACAGCTGTGGAGACATTATATAATCTACACATACCTGTTTTTATAGACATTATAGAACCTATATTCACTACATATATATGAACATATATGTATAACTTATAGTATGAGCTTTATTAGAATATTAATTATGCAAGTTTAATTAGGAGGAATTTAATAATGTTCTTCCTCACATTGAGAAAAAGCAAAAGAACTATGCATGTAGATGGTTTTTCTGTTAGGTCAGTTCCCAAGAGCGCAAACGCCTGTGAGCAATGGTGGCTGGTAACCTGTGGAGGAAGTCTCTAGTGCTGCGCACTGGACTGTACACCCTCATATCTTGTTTGACACTGTTTAGAAATGTAATTAAGACATGGAAAGCGGGTTTATCAAGTGTATCATTGACAGAGTCTGGGAAGGGAGTGTGTGTTAGAAGACAGGAAGACAGCTGACTAATTCTTTACAAACTGGAAATATGGGGGAAAACAAGCCTGGAACAAAAGAGATGTCTCCACAGTAGTCACTGCAGTAGTCAACATCATTTGACCATAGTTTTGATGTAAGCCAGGGGTTTTACACATCTATTACAAGAACAAGTTGGACCACAGGCTCTAGGAAATAGTACCCAGAAGACAGGTTCTTGAGTCAGTGCTCAGCCCTGAAAGAACACAGATGGGAACCGTGTCACGAGAAGGTGGAGGAAAAGGAGGAACGAGGGAAGGAGCAGTCGGCACAGGTGCTGTCTTCGGATAATTGAAGAGCTGAAATGTCCGAGAGAGGGGATTATTTTTTCGGTAGCCCTAGGACACAGAACACTGTAAATTCTGTTTTTTAAAGGAGTAACTTTCCAATACTTCTGGCCATTAAAAAGATGACATGAATTCTGTTATTAGTAGTATATTCTATTTTAAAATATTCTATTTTGCTGCAAAGCCCTTGAGTTGATGAGGACTAGTAATCTGGCAAAGATCTGCAGAGGAGTCTTTTCTTTGAGTGGAAACTGGACTCGGTGATTTTTTAAGGTTCCTTATGTTTTAGTTTGGGTTCCCCTAAAAACAAGAGCATGAGACAAGGGTTGGATGCAAGAAATCTGGGGGGCAGGGGATACTAAGAAGTGGGGAGAGTGAAACGGAATGCTGCAAGGGCTCACTCCTGCTTACGCTTCCTGAGGAACTGTGCAGAACACGTCTCAGAACTGTTCTTCAAAGAAGGATGACTGGGATGCTACCCATCAACTCCAGCAGCTCACTGGTTGAGGGCTGCCCCTGGGACCATGAACTCTCCCCACTTCCCAGACCATAGGCAGCTGCCTGGGAAGAAGCTCTGAGTCAGAACAGCTGAGAAGCTGGGGCACCCGAGGTAAAGCTGCCAGCACGCGAGGGCGTCGCCCACTGCAGCTGCAGCCGAAACACAAACCCAGGGGGCGAGGGGCTGTGACTGCAAAATGTGTTGCCACACCTTCTAGCCCGTGATTTCTGAGCTTTAGAAGAGGGCAGCCGCCCAGCACTCCTCCCTCCCACTGTATCTAAGTCCTAGAAGTTCCCAGGGGCAAAGACGGCAGATCCCTGTGCTGTGACATAATGAAACGATTTCACATCATACTCTACACTACGAGTTGGCAGCAGGTAAAATCCTAATACACCAAATCAACCCTATTACATCACAAACAAACTCACTCCCCTGAAAGGCCAAGCAAATCAAAGCTTCTTACCCATATGGCTATGGAGATTTACTTACCTTCCACTTTTGATCAATTCTTTGCCACACATTTTTCACATCTCTAAAATTATCATGTAAAATTTAATTGGTAGTGTTGTACTTTCTTAGTGGTATATAAAATAATGGTATTTTAAAATCAATTATGGTGTTTTAGATTTGATGAAATACATTATTCCTGCTATTTTTAATTTAAATTGATATTTGATAAATACTGGCCTTGATTCCTTTGCTGGCCTATTGAAGACTGAAGTAATTTCCTATCACCAAAACTTGAATGAACTGTAATTTTAATACATTTTTTTTCCAGAGGAATAAAAAGTAAATTTAAAGAAATTGAAATTACCAGTGATTAAACATAATTAGAAAACTTTGCAAAAAATAAAAAAAGAGGCCTAAAGAATTGCTCTTACTTAAACTGGCTGATGACTAGTGACAAGACACACACTAAATGAACAGGGTAATAAGTGAGGTTCATCAACGGCTTCCTAAGATATTAAATTTTACACAAAGGCAATATTCATCTTAGATTTCCTGAGAGAAGTTGCTCCTAATGGACTGTATTTAAAGAAAGCCACCTTTCTAACAAAGAGTGCTAGAGAATAACAGTGTAATTAAAGTGTTTGCTTATTCTTATCCCCTGAATTCTCTCCCATTCATTTCAGAATAATAGCTCCTAAAAGTAGACAATGTTGCCCAGCTGGTGTGGCTCAGTGGTTGAGCGTCAACCCATGCACCAAGAGGTCGTTGGTTTGATTCCCGGTCAGGGCACATGCCCAGATTGTGGGCCTGATCCCCAGTGGGGGGCATGCAGGAGGCGGCCAATTGATGTTCCCTCTCATTGATGTTTTTATCTCTTCCTTTCCCTTCCTCTCTCGAAAATCAATAAAGAAAATAAATAAAATTACACATTGTTTGTTGGAGGGTACCTCTGCTGGCATCCACATACAATAGATTAGGGTAGGAACATGATATGCCATATTGGGCAGGAAGGGACCCAAGAGGTGACAAAGAATTAAAACACATGGACAGATGGACAACTTATAAATATTCAGAGAAACTTGAGACTAGTGAAGGAAAGTAGTTTTTCTATAGGTTCTTTCTAAAACTGAGTAGCTAATTTACTCTAAGTAAAAGCACATACTGTATCATCATTTCAATGCCCAAAGACTAATGGAAAAAAAACTACACACACACATTGTGGCTTCTTGAAACAGACAACAGGCAGGGGTAACTATCCCTAAGTTGCCTATAACCCTCTGTGAAATTAAGTGATCATCACTTCTACAGTCATGGAAACTTAATTTTATAGTATCTCCTTCTAGATATCTCCTTCAGTCTCTCTCTCTCTCTCTCTCTCTCTCTCTCTCTCTCTCTCTGTCTCTCTCTCTCTCTCTCTATATATATATATATACACACACACATATACCTATACATATATATACACATATATGAAACTATTATCATTATTCAGTTTCATATGTGTATATGAAACTATTATTATATTAAGCAAAGCTGAGGCCAGAGATACAGGATGATTTAAGTGAAAACACTCAGTCTTTAATGGGAAAATGTCTGGTTAAAGCTTTAACAATTATAGAAAAGTTGATATGCTAGATTTATAGGTACCACTGAACATTTTTTTTCTGAGACATTTATCTATAAGAAACATAAGCAAATTAAAATGTCACCTCTACAGCTTCCCAGGCCCACTTCCTGTACTTCGGATCGTGAGTCAGTCGCCACATGTACATGTAAGTCTCAACAACCTCTGGCCGTAGGATGTAGTATTTTTCATTTTGCCTTGTAGCAATGGCTTCAACACCGCCATCAAATCTGAAAGCTTCTGGTCCCAGTTTCACAACTAAAGAATATGGAATGGGTGACAAAGGTTACTGAACAATGCTTAGTGTCTACAACTTAAATGAAACTAGAAACTACTTTATAACATTCAAGAACAATACCAAATTATTTTAAGGAATATTTATAAACATCACATATCAAATAACATTCAATATACTTTTAAAATTTAGTCATCTGAAAGAGTCCATTTGAGAAATAGTAAAAACTCTTCAATTTCTTTAATTTAACCACTGTTTACCGAGCAACCCCTGGGTAGGTACAAGGTACCATGAAATACCTTATAAGCTAGCTAGAAAAACAGTGGTTGTGAATTCTAAGTCATTATGTCACGAAAAACTATTTAATCTTTGTGCTTCAAACCCTATTTTATAAGGAGGGAGCCAAAGTCAAAACCTATTTCATGGAAACACTGTTAAAGATAAGTAATAATTTATAAAAATATATTAAGTTTCTTTTGCACTGGGTCAGAAACTCTTATACAACGTTATTTAAGCAAAGTCAATAAATTAGACTGGCTTCATGTTTTATGGCCTGGATTTCTGTTTCTAAGAGTAAATATTTTCAAGTAGATAAGCAGTGTCATTTAAACTGGAAATACCATTTCCTTTAAGATATCAATCATGACCATTAAGTTTCACCAGGCACAGTGGATACTCTTTTGAAGGCAGCAACGACAGCATTTCTTACTGAATAAATAAAAGCCCATGACGAGAGATTGTAAATGAAGAATAACATGTACTCACACGTGCGATTGTAAGATTCGTGGCAGGTACGGGCAATCTCAGCCCCGAGCTGAAGGTAGTGCTGGGTCCGGCCCTTGGGAGCATCGTCTGCCCCAAGTGCAAACATGCCTCCAGCAAAGCAGGTCAGGTGGCCCATCTTGTGTTCTAGGAGGCCCCCTTTCCACTCTGCGATGTAAGTCAGTCCCCTACTGGACTTGCGGATCAAGTGAGTCTCAATTGCCTGAAAATAAAACTTATTTTTCAGCATTTGTAATCTCTTCTACAATTTATACTAACCCCCACAATATTAAAAAAGAAGATAACATCACTCACAATTTGAATTTGGTGTTACAAATCCAATTCACCCTGAAATTTTGTTATTGCTTTCTGTATTCTTCCCCTACTCCATGCCGTATTAGTTGGGTTAGTTAGAATGGACACTGTTGGGCCAGCCCAGTCTGTTTTGCTTGGCTCCATGATTAAACACTTGTAGTCCACACACCTAAAAAGCTGTCTCCTTCTCAAAGGTAGGCCACTGGTATAGTGGTAATGCTGGTTTAGTGCATTTCCATTTTCACAAATGGAGAGACAGCACAAAGCACAGGCCTTGCCATGAATGAACAGCATATTTGTGTATGAGATCCAGGCTGGTGGTAGTACCCTTTCTGTTGCTCTCTTGGGCTTGAAGGTGTAACAAAATAGAGAGGGACAGAAGACTTGTTTTTGAGTCAGGTTGCTTGGCTTCAAATTCCAGCTTTGACAAACTTTATTCTATCTGTGAACTTTGTAGGTAGTTTGCTTACTATATTCCTAAATCTCAGCATTTGTATTCACAAAATGGGAATAGTAGCATCTGCTGAGAAAACTCAGCAGCATTTTGTTTAGAAAGTGGTCAGTATTGGGACTAGCACTTGATAAAAGTGACTTATCACATCATTCACATTTTCATTGTTGTAACACTTGAATTAAATCCCCCCTAATAATTCTATTACAAAGTACATTAGTATTCAGTGACTAAGTATTTTATATATATATGTAGACACACACATATATTTTATTAATTTATATTTGTTACAGATGTTTCTCCCCCCCCCCCCATTAACACCCTCCTCCTGATCCCGAGTCCACCCCCCCCCCCGGCATTGTTGTCTATGTCCATGGTTATATAGATGCATATAAATTCTGTGGCTTATTTTTTAAAGAGAACAAAGATCTGTAAATTTGGGAGAAATTATAATTTACAAAAATTACTTATAAAACACCTATTATTTCTGCCCCAGAACTGTTAATATTCTTTTAAAGAAATTAGAGAACATAAAATAAGCCTTATATTTTAAAAAGCAAAAATGAAGTGTGCTTGGAATTACTGATTTCCAATTACTGTAACAGGAAATGTCTGCCCCCCCCCCCCTCCAATTACTTCATAGAGGGACAAGAACCATGACTGTCTATACCTTTTACACTAGTAACAAAAAAGAGGGATTTTTAGGAAGCACATTTGGGAGTAGTAGACATAGATAAAACTTTTGATAGAGAAGAATAAATTAAAATTAATATATAGGCAGATAAAACTTTCCCTACCTTTATTATAAGTAAACAAATGAAACCAAGATAGTAATAAATAAATAAACACACTACTGCGCTCATTAACTGTGGTTAAGCTAATTTTATTGATGGTCTAGTTATTACATTAATATTTCATTCTTATTTAATGTGACTGAACGTATTAGCTATTTACACTTCTCATAGCACAAATTGCAATAAAGTCCTTCAAGCAGATACCTGTTCATCATCCAAGAAATTATTCTTTCTACACAGCAAGAGCAATAGCTTTTGAGCATGGATTAGAGAAACATTATTATCCCCTTATGGATCCTGCATAAAGTACTATATTATTTTTGGCATGATTCTGACCAAGTTGCTACTTCTTAAAATAAATTAGACAACAGAGTTCCAAGGTCTTCAAGGCAATGTTTGTATGAAAATTAGAAAATATAAATAAATATAGAGGAGGAAAAAATAGTCTTTAGTAGCTCTAAAACATGTTGTGTCAAGTCTACAGAGAATTAATTAGGAAAAAGGAATATTATATATATTTGTGATTTTATTCTATATTTGAAAACAAACAAACTTAGTTTGATGAGGCCTCTAGTATTCTAATTTTCTAATACATCACCAGCCCAGGTGACATTCACTCTAATGGACCTCTGACAAGGTGAGCATCCATCACTATGGATTCTTGGTATGGTCTCCAGGGAAGGCCATGATATCCAATTAAAAGCTCAAGATATTTTATAACTAAAACAAAAAGAAAATATACCACTCTGGGATTAAATACTCTCTAAAATCTACTTGAAGCTAAAAATGATGAACTATATCTCCAGTAACTCAATTGTCCAGAACAATAATGTAAGGGATCTTCTCCTTGATAATAATAATCTCTATAAGTACAACTAGACAAAGAAACTTTGTTATGTAAGACATGGCTACTTCTCGAAATCAGAAGTTTAAGTGCTCTACCTTTGCTTTCTAAGTTGAAAACACAATAGATTGAAAGTGCTTTTATATTAAGAGAAACAAGAAACACTTTGACTTCAGTTGTTCTTAATGGATTTTCCTGTCAATGGTTTGTCTAAATACAATATGTTAAAAGCTGTGTGGGTACAGTTCTAGAAACAAAGGGAAAATACTTCAAAGAATATTTTAAAGTTGCTTTTCCTGGAACATCAGGTCTTAGGGGCCAAGATTAGAATAATTAAAATGTCTGCCAGGATAGTAATTAAAAAATGACATAATGGAAACTATACTTGCATGGAGAGAAGAACCACCTAGGTTAAAACCTAAATCTCATGGGAATGAAGCAAAACAAACCTGGAAGAGGCCATGTGGACCATGTCCTAGTAGGCTTTGATGTTTATCATGTGCCTTAACAAAGGCTGTGCTAAATGAAGGGCAATGTCCTAGCTAAGGTGTTCGAGTTCTTCTACGTGAACTAGTGCAATTGTATCTGCTCTGTTAGTGAAGCTTCCTACTGAGCTTGAGAGGGGGGCAATGAGAGGTCTACGCTGGTTAACCAGAGCAGAGCAGAGCTGGTTATGTTGAAATAAGAAAATCAGTCTATGTCAAAATCACCCAGACCTCTTCTCAGGGAGACCAATTTTAGAACAATGGCTATTTTACTGAAATTCCAAATTTCCATTTTTTCTCTTCCTATGAATTACTACTCTCAATTATAAAAAAATTTCTAAGCAGTCAATAAAAGGTCAATTTTCTGATTATTTAGCCATAATTTTACAACATTATTTGAGATGCTTTGAGAATAATTAATGTTAAAAAAGATAAGTTACTATATAAACTACTTTTAATAATCACAAAGGTATCTGATTCTGCTACAAAATTTGTTCCTGAAAAGTTGGGTACAAATTCAAGTATTTTACATAAAATAGTTTTCTTTTTTTACTTTATTTACTTTCATTTTTGATTGGGCTTAGCTTTCTCGTATACTGGCCACCTTCTATAGACTTTGCTAAGTAGTTCCTGACTTATTTCACTAACCTACAGCCTGTAAAGAAATAGTCACATGTGGCAAAGAAATTCTATACACAAACAAATCCACAGCGGTGAGGTAAAAGGGAGCGGGTGTTGACACAAGTTTTAGTTCGAATTTGGTTTCACACTCAACCTCTCTGAAATTCAGTTGTCTTATCTGTGCTACAGCTGTGATACGGGGAGTAACACCGAAACTACTGCGAGAGAACCAACCAGTGTCTGCCTGACACTCCTGAGCACACAGAACACAGTTCAGCAAGTGTTGTCCCTCCCATTCCTCCTCCATTTAAAGGACCTCTGAAAACCATTCATCATCTTCTCCTCAGTATTAGTTCGGTTAGTTCAGATTTTTATTCGAGAGTACTGTCCATATATCTCTGTACGAAAGTTTACTTCAAATGGAGGCAGGCAATCTTCAGAATATACATTTAGGATTTTTTCCTCTCCGTAATTTTAATGGACTCTAAGTAGGGAACTCATGCTCATTGAAGAAAAATACCTTTTTTTAGATATGCGAACCTTTTTTTTTTCAGATATGTAAATCTTCACTGAGGTTTGAACCATGTAAAAAACCTAACTGCGCTCTGAGAACTACATACGTCAAGTGTGATCACTATTGTTATATTAGCAGACAGTTTACTCTACCTAACCGGAAATAATTTGTAACCCGCTCCTGCAGGATTCCATTTTTTCATTAAAGCTTGATTAATAAGTAAGTTACAAGTTAGAGCTGAGTGGCAAAGATGATTTAACTACTGGGTTTACCTGAACAGCATCAAAATACATCTTCTTAGCTTCTAGATCTGTCTTGTCAGACATTAACCATGCCTTTAGCAAATATTCATAAAAGCTGTCTCCAAGTCCTCCAACTGATACATGATCTGCAAGAGAGGAAAATGAATTTTAGAATGATTCAGTCTTAATTCAGATAATGCAGCAAAATCACATTAGCAACTAGGATGCAAAACCCTACGTCAACTGCAACTCAATGTTACCTTTAAATTCCAAAAATCTCTTGTTTTCAGAAAGCCGTTTTGAAATGAGCAGATGTGCTGTTAACTAATGCGATATACTCTAAATAATTACCAGGGTGGTTTTGTAAGCAGAAAGATAAAAAATATGTAATCCCTCTCTTCCCAATTCCAAAAATCTAGATCACTAGTAAATATACCAAATCAAAGTGTTTCGCAGTATATATTCATATAAATATTTAATTGCTTTAACTCTCAATAATACAAACTATGTCAAAGCTATGAGCATTAACAAATCTTTTTAAAAAGTGGCTTGCAGTAAAACAAGAAGATCCTCGGCTCTCTGTGGCTTATTATTATTATTGCTATTATACACTGGGTTTTCCAGTGTTATCAATCTGAAGGGTCAAAACCCTTGGGTGGGTGGTAAGAAAGAAGACGGAGCAAGAGCTTTTCTGTATTCCACACCGTTCTTCCACTCCTCCTCCGCTGACATGTATCATGCCAGGCCCACTGCCTACATTATCAACTTGTTGGGTAGCACGCGCATTAAAGGTGAGAAACTGAGGCTCACAGAGGCCAAAAAAGAATGCAGCCTCGGTAAGTGCCATCTGACTCGACCCATGTGGCAGCTGGCATGTGGGTCTGTGTACTCGTCACTGCATAACACTCCATGCATTCTTTTGCCCTTTATACTTTTATTTTTCAAGCATTTCAGCTATAAAAACAGATATAATCTATTTGAAATATCATTCCTAGAATTCACAGAGAAGTTGAGCATTAATAAAGATGCAGTTATTTTGGAAAACTGCATTGAGTGGGACAACTGAGCAAAGCAAACATTCTAAGTCAATCTTAATAAGGACTACAGACTTATTCAAGCCAGAAGGGCTATATTTTTAAGAGGTTAAATGTAATTTATTATTAAAATCCAGAATTATAATTTCAATTTTAATGTAAAATTTGTGTTTTTACCATTGTAAAGCTGGTTCTTAAAATAGCAATGTTTGAGGTGACCTTTACAGTTTCCTACATAAATCACCACAGAAACCTCTGACATTTAAAAATTAAATAGAGTAAGACCTATCTCATCAATAATAAGCCCTGTTGTTATAAACATGACTGCAGGAGACAAATGCGAGTGATGCATGGTCAGGCAGATCACTGTCCGGTTCCTGTCAACATAACAAGGACTGAAGGAAGCAATAGGAAATGATGGCCATGATCCAGACAAGTCCTCAGAGTTAAAGCAATGGGAGTTGAAACTAACAGCCAGAAGCAGCTTTATTTTCTTTCCCCCTTGGGTTATGATTCTATAATGGATGAAAGAAGTAAGATTGGGCATTTGGTAATTTTTGAAAAAGGAAAGAGGATTACATATCAGTACATGTATTTTAAATAATTTTAGTAAGGGCTAGTTAATTTTCTATTTTTTTATTTCCTGCCTTTAAAATTTTCATATTTGGAAAGAATCAAAATAAAGGAACGTAGAGGAGAAACAAGAGATGAAGTCCTTTGGGGATTTTAGCATGTCACTCACTAAGCTGCCCTGGGTCTGGATGACTGTGTTAGCAGCGGAGTCCGTGTAAATGTCTCAGTGGGTGAGGGGGAGCACATGCCTGACTTGGCCAGCAGGAAAGAACCGCCTATTTCTTGAAAGAACATATGTGGTATTTATATGCCCAAATGCTCCAACGGTAACGTGTACTATAGTCATTTAAATATTATGTTCTTCTCTAAAGGGGATAATTTATCCTTTTCTTCCCAGTAGAAATAGGTCCCATAACAAGATTCCTAATACTTAAAAAGAGAAAAAACAAACAAACAAAAGAATCAAGAAAAAGAGAATGAAATACTTAATAGCTTCATTTTTTTAGTTTTGTAGACTTCATCTGAATCCGAACTTCTCTCCTCAAAGCAATCCTCCAGTGATGCTGGTGACACTATACATATATTAGTGTTGTTATATAACCAAAGAAGGGTGATACTTATTCTGTTTATTGACATGGAGCCCCACATCTGGCCTCAACAGCCACAAGATCTCTTCATATTATCAGTGAGCAGGACTAGATGCTGCCTCTTAGCCACAACTGAGGAGCAGGGCAAAATGTTCAAAGAGAATAAATAGAACCACTATTAAGAACAGAGGCAGAAAGATAGATTGGATACAGAGTGCATGGGTGGTCACAACATTTAAGTTAAGGAAACACCTCCTAGGTGCAAGGTACTGTGAGTTGGGTCAACAAATACGACTGAGACAGAGTCACTGACCTCACGAGTCTGAATCCCTAGGTCCATGGGTGTGAAACGAATCGTTAGGAAAAGGACTGTGACAGGAAAGCACCCGAAGTGCTGGGACAGGGGAGGAAAAAGGGGTGAGTAGAGGAGGTGTGGGTGCTAACAGATTCCATCCGCGGTCTTGAAGAAGGCCTCCCGGAAGAAATGGCGATTGCGCTGGGCCGCGGCAGAGTCAGAGGGATGGTCAAAGGGTTGAGGAAACAGAACAAGCAGATCTGGGCATGGCCAAGCAGGCCTTGATTGAAAATAAAGAAGTAAGTGTGCTTTCCTTGTGGTTGGAAGACAGGACGGGGCCAGGAGGGGAGAGGCATGGGCCCCTTCAACCTGTTTGTTTTTCCATCAGGAAACTGACCCCTAAGCAATTAAAATATAAAGGGCGCTTTGTACCAGGAAACATGGCCAAATACATAGTATATTTGTGACCCAGAAGGTGAAGCCGGGATGTTCCAGTACAGCCAACTCTTTTGTCCCTTTTCATAGTGACACCTAAACCCTGAACCACAGGAAGAAAGCAGTTAATCCTAGAGACTTTTTTCAACTTTTGAATCTTTCACGAGGAGAACTCTAAAAACCTGTCCTTTCAGAGAATCACATCTAGTTATCTTGCCCTCAGAAAGCCAATCAAGTTCTGTTTACCCTAAATACTCCTCAAAATTTTTATAATCTTAGCACCTCTTTACCCTTTTAAAAACAAATAAGTACCCCAAAGACTTGTTTATGTATTATTATCAATATTTACCAAATTGGAAATTAAAAATAAATTAATATATTTTATTAATTTATTTAAAATAATATACACCTTATAACACAGTTTTTCATTAAAATATGTATGTTTTACAAAACAAAAATAGTGAGAAGAGTGACACTATTTTGCATTCCTGTAAATCTCTTTAATGTTTCCTGTTCTAGAACACAGCTGGGTTTTCATATCTGCTCCACATTCCATCCCCGCTGTGTGTGGTCCTGGCTGAAACAGATGAAGAAAATCTAGCCTCACAGTTATACAGTTGGAAAAGGGCAGAGTATTTTAATAGTCTTTTCAGATTATTGTGGATATTTTTCTTTGATACTACAACAAAATTTGACAAGTGTTTTTTTTAAAGGTTCAAGTTTTTTACAAGTTAGTTGCAATGTAGAATTAGAAACCACACCAATGTATTTGTGTGCTGTTGCATTAAATGCCAGTGGTCTATCTTGCACTTTGAACGGATCTTTTTCTCTTACAAGATTTTGTAAAAGCATGCATTGGTCATTCGGAAAATATTGCTCATTGAGTTATGCAGATCTTCCAAATGTTGACACATTTCATTACACAGTATCAAAAAAACCCAAACACCAACATTTGTTAATATCATCACCGATCTCATCAGAACAGACTCTGTGTCGGTTAAAGGCAATGAGCACATTCATGGTGGCGTTATACACGTTTTCTAAAATTCTAATTTTCATTTAGAAGTTCAAATTTTATCATTGGCATAGATACTATCAGTTTTCCTTGAAGTGACAGGCTCATTTTCAAGAACACATCTACTAATTACCAACTCGGAAAAACCAGTTTGGCTTCAGTTGTTCTTTCAAGTAAAACTGGTGCCAGTAACGCGTAAGTGGCTGGTTCGGCTCACAGCTCAGCCACGCGGTGCTTTTCTAGGAGGCAACCACTGTTCCTTACCACGCAGAAGTGAGCGTACTTTCGATGTAATCACATGGGATATTACAAAGATATGTATTCAGTGGCTGAGATTTACTAGAATCAGTATTTTACTTTTGCTTCATTAAAAACATTTGTAAGTGAAAGTGGCTTTTCTTTCTTTTTTAAACCAGCCATGAAGATTTAGAATGTGACTATTGTACTGTTTGGAGCCTCTGCCATGGTCCTCACTATAACTTTAGTAGTTCTACCCACCAATACTTTTGCAACATAAGTGCAAATGTCAACACAGTGGCAGAAAGTCTTAGAATTATTATAAAAACAGCTTTGACCTTGTAGACGCCCTGAAAGGTCTCAGGGATGTCCAGTGATCGGCAGACCACACTGAGGTTAAGTGGCAACCTTGCTTATGGTTTTTTGATCTCAATGACTAGGCCTTCCCTAGCCATTACTAACACACACACATAGATTTTAGTATTTTTCTACTATTCTTTAAGCAAAGTACTTCGAGAGCAGTGGTGAGGCATAGCCATCTAAGAATATATGGTCTTTAAATATATGAAAGAACTCCACTTAGAGTTAAATTTTAAGGCACTCTAACACTCGGCACAGCTAGGCATCTCACTTAGTATTCTTCACTTGCTCTCTGTTGCTGCGTAATCTACCACCGTTTTTTCCAAATCAGCTTGAGAAGATTTCTTTCGGCTACTTGGAATCATTACACCTGGTCAAAGTCTGCCAGGCTCTCAAGTGAGGGCTTCTGGCATAATACTTGCTCCTACCCTAAGGCAACTCTACTGGCGAGAAACCTTTATCTGCTGGCTTAAAATTAAGTAAAGAAAATACCCCGTTTGCTCTTCCAATTTCCCGACCCTTAGAGATTCAGGCTCCTCTCTCATCTTGTAGTGAAGAGAAAGAAAATGTTATGAAGTAGAATGCTGCAGCTACTCTCTATAAAACCCCGATGACCATCGTTAAAACAAAGGGACCATTTTCCTGCTATCCTCATGACCACTTTGTTACAGACCATACAACCCTGACTAGATTGTCCCTTTCTAATTAACAGCTTTAAATGTGCTTATATGTCATCATGTTCCCAGTTATGCATGAAAAACATTCTAGTTTCCTGGTAACACTGCCTTATGACAGAAAGTGCTTATTAAAGAAACAATGCCTTCTTTCCCCTTTTCTAAACATTTCCCCAAAAGATTGTACTTTATTCTGTCTTTTCTCTGTTACTAGAACAGTGCTGGGGACCATAAAGAGCTAAAACAATGCTAATCTTGTGACTTACATTGACCCCACTGTCCACTACTGGGATTCAGATAGTTAGGATAAAGGCCTTGTGGTTTTTGCAGGTTGTTCAGTACTGTTCGAATATTCATTACCTACAACAGAAAATAAAATGTTACTGTGAAAATCTATAAAACAATTTTGGTGCTCTTCTCTCTTTCTTGATCATAGTTCTCTATGTTAGAAAAAAAAAAGGTGATTTAAATGATGCAGCAGAATTAGAACAAAGATAGTTGCCACTAGCCTACAAAAATGATAGGCAGTAAGTGAACATAGTCACACTGATCTACCCTATGCCAGATGCCACACAAGGAACTGGGGATTTCAGTAGATAAGCAAAGTCAATTCCAGTAGGACGAGACAGATAATAAACAAAAAAATACAATATCTGCAATGTGAGTACTATAATATGTAATAGATGCTATGAAAAAACACAAGATGGTAACAAAAAAGTAATGTGAACTGGTGAGGCTGTACTACGTTTCTCAGGGGGCCTGGGGAGGCTTATGAAAGAGTGAGTAGAAATGTTAAGAAACGAAGGAGCAAGTCAGGCAAAAAACTGGAGGAAGAGCAACGTGGGCAGAGGAGGAGCAAGTCCAAAGGCCGTGAGAAGAGAGTGGGTTTGGAGGACAGAAAGCAAAGGGGAGATGCGGGCCTTGCAGGCCCTGAGGGCTTATTTTATTCTGAGTGTGATGGGAAGCCACCGAAGACTTGGTTTATAATTGGTGTGACTGGGGTGCAAGAGAGCGAGCGGTGGTCAGATAGCCACTTCAGAGTCCCGGTGAGAGATGAGGGATGATCCAGGTGGCAGCAGAGGTAACAGCATAGAGCCCAAGGATTTCTTTCTTTTTTTTTTTTTTATCAATTAATTTTTGTTACAGATGTTTCTCCTTTCCCCCCACTGATTCCCCCCTCCCCCTCCCTCCTGCCCTTTCCCCAGTTTGTTGTCCATGTCCACTGTTCATGCATACATGCATATAAGTTCTGTCCAAGGATTTCCTGATGCTTTCAACCTGAAGTTTACCGGAAAGGGAGAAACCAGTGTGACCTCGAGAGTTTTGGTCTAAGCCACTGGGTAAACTGAGGTGCCAGCTACCAAGACAGTGAAGTCTGGAGTAGAAGCAGGTCTGGGGGGTGAGTGTAAGACATTTTAAGTGGGAGCTGTCTATGAGACCTTAGGAAAGGCTGAACAGGTTCTTGAATATGAAGTCTGGAGGTCAGGGGACAGGTTGAGACTGAAATGGTAAGTTTGGAGTCAACAGCACAGAGATGGCATGTAGGCCCATAGATGAAAGGATGTGGGAAGTGACCGTAAAGGGAAGAGGCCCAAGGTGGAGTCCTGGGGCTTTCTAACATGTAGAGGTGGGGCGATAAGGAGGGTCCCAGAGAGGAGAACGAGAAGCCGCACCCAGGAAGGAAGGGGAGAAGCCAGAGAAGTACCCTGTGCCTGCTGCCAAGGGCGGAGCGTCTCCGGGAGAAGGAAGTGAGTAAGTATGCCAAAGGCTGAGAGGGCAGGAAGACGCGGTGCGAATGAGGACAGCCCCTGACAGCGTGGCACTCACCCGCCATGGGACAGGTGTGGCTGGGGAAATGCCTGGCGGGAAAGCAACCGACAAAGGGGCTACAAAAAGAGAAGGTAACAAACAGGGACAACTCTTCCAAGGAATTTTGCTGTAAAGGAGAGGGGAAAAGTGGGGTAAAAGCTAAGGGCCATGTGGTGGGGTGAATAGGAATTTATCCAAATATCTGTAAGTTTGTTTCTTGACAATTAGAAATTGATTCAATAGCTACTTTACATTTATATAACACCTTGAGTTTAAAAAGTCTTTCACATAAGTGGTTCATATAGTCCATACAAAATTATATATTTTTCGATGTGGAAAAAAAGTTCGGAGGAAATGGCTTTCCAGGTGTGGAGAATGAGCTGTGGAAGCCAGGTGCTCTCACGCCAAGCTAGGGTCGCGCCACGGAAAGACAGTGAGTTTCCAGGACACGAAAGGCTGCATGTCACAAAACTTCATAAAGCTATATTAAACTTGGTTGTTCTTTTCCACGTCCAATATTACCAAATCTCTCAGCAGAGGATATTGTTTCTCACAGAAAGGCTTTGCAAGGCAAGGTGTGGTGGGGAATCTCACCTTTTCAGCAAAGATGGGGTTTCCTGATAAGTGGCTCAAGTGTATGAACTCCAAGTGCAGGGTTCCGAATTCGGCCAGAATGCTGCTGCCTCCTGAGGCCCAGGGCCAGTTCCTTCCAATCCCACTAAAGGAGAGAAGACATTGCAGAGTTGTGGCTCAGACTAATTCTATTTTTTTTTTTTTAAACTCTAAACAATAGAAGTGAAAAAGATAGCTTTTGAATAATGGCTCCTTAGCTCATAGTCCACTCTGGATATATGAAAATATCCAGCATTGTTACCTTTGACTGGCACCCAGTTTCAGGCTGTCATTTCTATTTCCAAATTGAAAATTAGTGTTGACTAAGGTCACTAACACATTGCTCTGTGCTTGCTATTGATGAACAGACAGACATTGTGGAAGGTACAGGTGCACACCCATTCCAAGTAGAATATTAAACAAAATCACACCAAACATCCCCACCGTGTCTCAAATCCCAGCTAAAGCACTTCAACACTTTAATTAATTTCAGCCTGAGATTCCATGGACTGTTATAGACATTCACATTATATACACAATTTTCTTGGATATTGGATAAATTTCAAAGATTCATTAGTAATATAATCATACCCTCTCCAAACCTCTCATTTATTGAACCTCCTTTCTTATGCTTCTCTTCAAAATGTTTTACCAATACCCTAAGTATATTTTCTAAGGCATTCACTCATTCCTTGACATATTTTATCTATGTTTAAAAATGTCAGCAAAATTATATAATTCAAATATGAAAGGGATCATAGGCAGGAGCTTCAAAAATGAATGCCTCATGACTCATCTTGGAGAAATGCTCTTTAAAAAGAGTAAGTCCTAAACACACACACACACACACACACACACACACACACACAGAGGCTACTGAAACATGGTCATATTCTTGGGTATAGTTCATTTCTGGAAAGTCACTTAAAACGTCAAGACATATGTGATAATTCAAATAAAGAATAAAGTCAATGACTCTCCTGATCAATAAATTCCCTTGCAGAAATCTAAAAACCCACATTTTGGTATTAGTACAGATACACACTTATTATATGCCTATTATTTGTCTGGAATTATGCATGATACTGGGTTAAAAGATGGTATGATGAATAAATCTCTCTTTATGATAATAAAGATCTTATTGTGTAATGGGAGAGAAAGATCTGAGCATAAATAATTCCAACTGAATGTGGTAAATGCCAAAATAAATGTGTGGAGAGTTCTCCGAGAACCTGGGGCCAGGACATTCAATCCAGCAACAGTGCGGATCACAGAAGGCTTCTTCAAGGAGGAGAATCCTGAGTTGATTCTTGAAGGATAAATAAGAAGCCACGAGAAAAGAGTGGAGAGACGGGAATCAGGACATGAGAGACGCACAGCAGGAGGGCTCGCCAGGCACTGGAGGCAGCGCTGATACTGGTGTGTGGGGGCAGGGAAGGTGGCAGGACGGAGGCTACAGGTTCCACGGAGGCCAAGTCTATCTTGTGGACTTTTCACTCTCCTCTTTCCAAGTCGGCCCCACTTAAATATTGCTCTTGGTGTTCCCTAGACTTGCTATCCTCCTCTGTCTTTTTCTTATATTATTCCCAGTTCTGGGCATTATTACAGTTCTGTTGTGCTTCTGCTGCAGAATTGCTGAGGAAGACTGAAGAAGAGGAAAACAATCAAGTGGTTTCTGACTTCTAAGCTGGCCTCTTATTCCTCATTTCTTTGTAGAACAAAATCTAGATTTTTGTCCCTAAACACTGAGTCATAGTAAACCTAAAAAGCAAGCAGAAGCAATCTGAAAATCATATATTCATTCATTTTAGAAATGCCTGATATTTATTAAATTCTGAGAACATAAGTCAGTTTCTATTTTCATGGTTGTCTTAGATAAAAGGAATATCCAATCATCCAAATAGGATGAACAGCTACTTTGAAATTTTATTAACATATGGCAAATGCACACAGTAATCGGTCATTAATTTGTTGTCACGACATTATTTTTTACAGCCCAATCATTTCATCGCTGACCAAAGTCAATAAGCATATTAAGCAAAATTACAAATGTCTATGTTCTAGAGGAACTGTTAAACACAAAGCTGCAACACATGGAAATGTCAGGGTAGGAGGGAATGATGACTTCATCCTGGAGAGGGAAGACAGTGTGCTGAGGAACCAGCTTAGTCCCCAGATCTTCAGGGACTGGCTCCTTTCAGTCAGGGTACTGGAGGGTGGGGACACATTCAGAATGGAAACTTAAGCAGTATATATGTACTAAACTAAAACTCAAATTACTTTTGTATCTAGGCATTTGTTTCCTGCTATTAATGTGGGTAAATCAAGAGAAAAACAGAGATACACTGGAAATTTTCACTATGTTTTAAGCAATTAAGATTGAAAAGGGTTTTACATATATGCTCGCTCCTCCTTTGCACAGATTCATACCAATAGGAAAACAGCACTCTTTTCTATCACTGTTTAATTATATAGGGAGCACGAACATTAAAGTACTGGCAAAGGACATATCAAACTAACAGAAAGAATGCCGAGTTTAGAACACATGGTATGTTGTATGAAAGGATGGCTTTGGTTACCACTTTTTCAACCTACAGAATTAATGTTTCAGTAAATTATAAGACTCATGGTTGCATTGGTCAGGGAAGGGTTTCAAGAAATCAGAGAAGGCATCATTATGTCTAGATATGAAATAAGGTCACTTGCCTTTTCTTAGGCAAATGTTTAAAGACTTGGAGGTTGGTTTGGGGAAAAGCATGGAGCATGAACTATGGGCCATCACAGCTAAAATATGTGTATGTCAGGGAAATGGTTGCCTACGTTCACAGTACATGTGCAGAGAGTGAGAACCAAGTTCTGGCCATCACAGTGTAGTATGAGTTGCAAGATCTTTTTTTATCTTTAAATTCTGTGAGTCTACTCAGGAATCTATTATTTGTATGGCTCTAATATATAAAGTTATATATATGGACAGTAGGCATTTGACACCAAAATGGTGGAGTGGTGACAGAGGGAAATGAGTCTAGTGAGTTTTTCTCCTTTGATCTGGGGTCAGGATGCCCTGTACATATCATGATATGAAAGGTTAAGTTTTCTAGACCTTTGGTTCAAAATGAATCTCATCTGAGGAAATAGGGGATTTAAAATGTCTTAGACTTGACTTGGGGTGATGAACACACAATACAATATACAGATGATGTGTTATAGAATTATATAGCTGAAACCTATATAATAATTTTATTAACCAATGTCACCCCAAGAAATTCAATTATAAATGTCTTTAACTTCTGTTCCATGATCATAGTAGTTTAAAGGCAGTTATAGTGTTCTTTAACTATTTTATCTTTATTTTACGAACAGTAATATTTAAAAATATATTTTAAAGATAAAATAACAGTTTGTATTCAGAAACTGTTATTTCCAGAAGGCAGTAATGAAAGAAAAGAATATTAAAATATTCCCAATTTTATTACAATGGTTGCATTTTATGCCAAAACCATGAGTCAGCATATGGAAATGTATACACGAAAAGGCAATTAACATGATTGGGGAGCTGCCAAGTGTTTGTTTTGGTTCAAGGAATCCTAGAACAGAACTTCAAACTTTTATATCACTCTAATTTCATTTCTTTGTGTCCTCCAATCTCCAGATTTTCCATTTTAAATTGGAGTATCATTTTAATATACAGTTGACACTTGAACAACATGGATTTGAACTGCAAGGGTCCACTTATATGCAGATTTTTTCAATAAATACTATAAATGTATTTTCTCTTCCTTATGATTTTCTCTAGCTTACTTTATTGCAAGAATACAGTATATACATGTAACACATAAGATATGTGTTAATCAACTGTCTATGTTATCCATAAGGCTTCCAGTCAATGGTAGACTATTAGTAATTAAGGTTTCAGGGAGTCAAAATTATATGTGGGTTTTCTACTGCAAGGGTTGGCGTCCTTAACCTCCACATTGTTCAAGGTTCAAATTTCTGTTTCAATTTTTAATTTAAATTTTCAGTAGTCTACAAAGGTCATATTTCTTTGAAAATAAAATATCAAAACAAAAAATAACTGAATTTGGAAACTACAACTATGTCTCCAAAAATTGAATTACGATGAGTCTTTTGAAAATGTGGAATACTATTTTACTCCTTAGAGACCTAATGTGCATACAGTTTATTAGCAGTGGCAATATACTTCCTCATCTTACTGCACTACTTATTTACTGACCTACCTCATAGCTTGATAAGCAGTGAGAATTGTATGTTTTTCCTCCTCTCTCCTGGGAACGGTCAGTGGCACAAAGAAAGGAACTACAGTACTAATGACAGTATTCTACGCAGGGGTGAATCCCATGGGAGAGCTGCTAACTCTTTTGCTAGAGCTTGTAATGACTCAAGTAGCCAGAAGGCTATTCTAGATTGACGGCATATATCTTCAAAATAATCTTAAATTTAGGTACCTAAAGTTACATGTTATAGTTACATCCCAGATATAATTTCTACTAGTAATAAATACATTTTGCTACTTAGCATAATCAAATGCAATAAAAAAATGTACAGAATTGCCCTGGCCGGTTTGGCTCAGTGGTTAGAGTGTCGGTCCACTGACCAAAGAGTCTTGGGTTTGATTCCGGTCAAGGGCACACACCTCGATTGAGGTTCATCCCTGGCCCCCGTCAGGGTCATGTGGGAGGCAACCAGTTGATGTTTTTCTCTCTCTCCCTCCCTCCCACTCTATCTGAAGATAAATGGAAAAATATCCTTGGGTGAGAATTAAAAAATAAATAAATAAATAAAATTTACAGAACTGAAACAATTCCAAAAAGCCAGATGAATATATAAACAAAGCATTAAATAGTTACAAATCTCAATTAGGTATGACTTTCAAATTTACTTTCCTTGTTGCCTGCTATTGCATGCGAAATGGGAAATGGGCCAATAAAATTTTTTCTTCAGGATGCCCTGAATAATTTCTGATTAGCTGATCAGTAAAAGAGATTCCTATCAATGTCACAGTCCAGAATCTGAGTTATTCCTTGAGGGCAATGGAGTTAACAAGTTTTAGAAGAAAAAATGCCCCCCTATTCTGTATATTATGGTAAA